TGGAGTTAAAGTGCTCTGATATCTCCTAATACAGGAGCTAGACAGAATGTGTCTGGCCCAGGAAGACTCGATTGACCTGATTTAAGAGCACAACAAAACCCGCCTTGTCTCCTGCGGCTGCTGAAGCTCGGGCAGGATCTCGCCATGGCCACAGGGCTCATTCTCATTCTGCCATGGAGGATTTGGGGTCGCTTTTCTAGGGGTGCAGAACGGCTGTTCTCTGCTGATGACACCCGTTTGCCTTGTAGGCAGGGCTGTAATTTAAAAGGTTGGGGGATAGGGAGCAAAAAATGCTCCTCCCTGGGAAGGACAACGTGGGCTGTTGCGCTCTGGTCCTCCTTAGCTCATTATTTTTCAGTTTTGTAGCTATTATTATTATTTTTGTGGTGTGTGAGGGCTAGACTTTTCTTCATATCCCTTTCAAGGGGTGTAATCATCCCTCCTCCTACGGAGCCGTGGATTAAAGGGGGAATTTCTCTCGGTCCAGCGCCCGAGGATGCGAGAGGAGCGGCCGCCTCGGGCACCGCGGCGTCACGTGAGCCCCTGCCCCACATACCCAGTGTCGGCTCGAGCCGAGGGCAGCCCCCGTGGCAGAGGATTTGGGGTGGGTTAAACTCATTGGGTGCTGGTTCAAATAACCCGTGTCAGCCTTGTGATGGAGCCAGCGTAGGGATGCGGAGGGTGCGATGAGCTTGGAGCGCTCAGCACGGCCTCGGTCCCATGTGCTCCCCAGATCCCGGCCTTGTAATTCCCTGCTGGAAGCACCTGTGGAGCACCCGGCAGGTTGCACGATGCCACTCTGCTCCATGTGGTCGAAACCGGGATCCTTCCCCGTGCGGCAGCGCCCACGGGCAGGGAGAGCCCGCGGGGCCTCTCCTGCCCAAACAGAAACCGTGTGTTTGGATCGGGAGTCACCCCGGATCCGCTCGGGAGGAGGAAGCAGGAGCAGCTCCTCGCAGACGGGGTTGCCTGACTCCTGCTCGTTTGTGAGAGGTTAATAATTCTGCCTGGAGAGCTATTACTTAGCAGCAGACTTTACACAAATGTCACATCTCGCGGTGCGTGGGACTAATTATTTCCTTTCAGTTTGGCGCGGGAAGGGCTGCTCGAAACGGCTTCCCCTGTTTGTCTTCTCAGCCCCGAGCGCTGCCGCTTGGTTCCTCCTTTCTCGTGACCCTTTAGGGCCCAGAATCTTCCCAGTTTAATTTCCCCCTACAGCGAATGGATGTCCCTACCCTGTGGCTCCCTTATTCCCTGCGTAGCTCAACCTGTTGGATTAATGTTAATGGTAACAAGTGCTGGAGGACTTTGGGCTGCGCGGGCCGTGCTCGGGGCATCGCCGACGTGGTGGGTGCCCAGATTCCCCCCACGGGCTCTTTCTCCAAGGCCTCTGGAGCTTCCCATCCCTGCTAGCGAGGACGCTTGTGCTGGAATTGCCGTTGGATTTGGCACGTGCTGCTCACGCCGCCCCTGCGGGAGAGGCAGCTTGGGTGCAAATCCCTCCCCTGCTCCGCTTCCCTGCCAAGACCTATTTATGGGGAAGCAGGGGGAAGGGCAGCAAGGATCCAGCACTCCCTTCCCCGCTCCCATCTTGGGTTTTTTTTTAAACTCCCAGAAGGGGAGATTTTGAGTTTATTCCTCCCCCCAATGCGCAGAGGGAAGGATCCATCTTCTCCATAAATCCCGCAGGTGCCGGGGGAGCGGCCGCGCCGTTCCCACGCACATGCTGCCTCGCGCGCGCTCCCCGAACCCAAGGCAATTCACTTTCTGCTTTGCTTCCTCATTAAGATTTAATTTATTGCTGACTATTCCTGTGGCTGCTTCTCATGCATATGGGATGCTTTTCCCTGGGCAGCGCATTCCAGGGATGCGGGTGGCTGTTTATCCTGGCTGGGCAGTGGGAGGCACGGGCTCTTGCAGGCAGGGGGGCTCTGTCCCCGCTCCTAGCTCAGGAACTCCTGGTCTTGGATTCCCAAAGGCCTTAAATTCCCTTTTCTCATCAGGGAAGCGCAGAGAAGGGATAGCTGCCGGAGTCCGGAATGGGGAATCTTGGCTCCATCCGGGTGAATCTCCCTGGGCCGCATGACCCCCTTGCTCTTGCGTGTTGGTTCCCAGCCCTTCCCATGACTGAGGCTTCCTTCCCGCATCCCGAGCCTCTGCCTTCCTCCATTAGCATGCGGAGCATTGGATGCGGTTGCCAGGGAAACCCCATCGGAGGCTCTCGCGGCAGCGGATCGTGCGGAGCCCGTGGGCCGTGACTGAACCGTAAATGCGGCTCCGTCTCGCCGGCGCGTGCGGCTGAAAACGCGTTTACCCTTCGGGGGCTCCGCGGAGGCCTTGGAAACTGGGCTTTGCTGTAGGAGCCCCCGCCGGGAAGCGGGAAACCTTCGGAATTGCCGGAGTTCTGCTCCCTATCCCGGCTGCAGGCCTGGCTCCGGGCTGAGCGGCTCCAAACGGAGCAATCCCGGAGGCTGGTTGGGTTCTTTGCTCCATCTGCACTTAAAAAGTGGCTTTGTTTCCATTGACCTCGGTGCGAGTCAGGCAGCTCAGGAAAGGGCTCCAGCGTGTGAATAGTGATGGCTAAAACCAGACACCCAATCTCTGGCTGTCTTCTCATGCCCCTGCTAGCCGGGGTCATGATTTTATTGGATTAACGCTGCTGTTAACCCCAACTCCCTCGGCAGCAGCCTCATAGCAACTTGTTTGGGCCAAAAACGCGTGTTTGTGGCATTTGCTGCCATCTGTGCCCAGCGGAGCCCGTCGTGGCTGTCCCCGTTGCAGTATCGTGGCCTCTGCCTTCCCTGGGAGCTGCCGAGCAGTGCCCTGAACGAGGACATTCTGCAGAAAAGCTCCTCTAATGCAAACTGTGCTGCCTTTATGGCTCTTACCAGCTGCTCGTGGGTATTTTTGGCATCTTTGTGCTGTGGTCCACAGCCTGTTTCCCTTGGTCGTGCCCGGTGCGGGTAGGAAGGAGGTGCATTAACCGCGGCGAGCGCAGGGCCGTCGTATGCGAGCCCTTTGCTAAGCAGAGGCTGCCCGGGGGGCTTGAAGAGGCCCCCGTTTTCCAGCCATCCAGGCTGCTCATCCCATCCTAGCAGCAGCTGCTGTGGATTTGCTCCCGAGGGACCTCGGGCTGTTTTGCTGCCTCTGGAGGCTGCAGTGGCTCCAAGTAGGTGCCTTGATGCAACCGGGTGCGAAGCCTTTTTGGAGCGATGTCCAAAGGGCTCCTGGGAGGGGGGACAGAGCCTGAGCTCCTGTTGTTGCTCCAAAGCTGGTTCTTGTCCCCTTCAATCTTCCGTGTTCCCATGGAAGGCTGCACGGGAGCAGCCTCTAGGGACTGGATGTGGCCGCATCCTCTTCACACTAGTGACAGGGAGGGCTGGGATCTCGTGGCTGGTACCCATCAAAAGCTGGAGATGAGCAGGGTATTTCCCACCCCTGGGGTCAACTTCTGTCCTCTCCAACTGGGTTAGGGGGGACAGGACAGCTCCTATTTGATGTCACCTGCCACCAGGAACAGGGAGTGCATGGCCCTCCTGGGAGGCTGTTGCCTCTCCCGGTGTGCGCCGCCGGCTGTCGCTTGCCTTTCCCCCCGTTTTTCACCAACCACATCTGCATTGCCGGCTTTTGGGCGTGCGGGGGTGGGTTCTCTCTGCTGAGATCCTGACGGGGAGGCTATTTTTGTGCTCGAGCTTCCTGCGCGGCCGCCCTGCTGAGGTACGCGCTGCTCTCGCAGGGCTGCGGCCTCTGTTTTGTTTTCCTGCTCCGTGACGGCATCGCTGCGCGGTAGCACCTTCAGCTCCGTGCGCGGCTGATTTACCCTCATTTGCCCACGTTTGGGTCGCCCTTGGGCAGCGGTGCCGACATGGCCTTGCCACCAGTTTTTCCTCATGGAGCAAGACGTGGGAATTGGGGACTGCCGACCTGGCCAGATGGAGCCTCCTGGAATGTGAAAACCTCCAGTGCATAAGGAGCAAGGGAGGCCTCGCAGTTCCCCTTCTGCAAGGCTGCAGCCTCCTTGTGTTTTCCCTGGGCAGCCTGGTGACCTCTTGGAGCGCCGTGACGGGGAGGAGGCTGCGACTGCTCTGGCTTTTCAGGAGCTTTTACCGGAGCTGGAAGTGAAAGCGGCCGCGCAGGATGCGCTGAGCTGCGCCCGGCGCCTTGCGGGCTCCGAGGCCTCCCCAAAGCTGAGCCGGGCCGGGCGCCACGGCTCTGCCTCCAATCTGCTCTTGCAATAACTTCCCTGCACCTTCATCTGCTGCCGAACCACAGAGTCCAGCCTCAGATCCCGAGAAACCTCCGTCAGGTTCCCCCCTTGCTCATCTGCTTTCCCTCATGTAGGTTATGAGCCCTGGAGGCTGCAGAGAGGCATCTTCTGGGCATCGAAGGGCCAGATGAAGTTCCCCTTATCCTCGTAGGGGCACGAAGTAGCTTCCTATGCATCTGCAGCTTTAGAACTGCCTATTTGCTCCCTGCCAGCACTTGAGTTATCTTGGCTGCAGATTTGTCATCCACAGCAAAGGTGGATGGTTCTCAAACTGCTCCATGGAGCTTGTGGATAAGAACAGCTGGGCTGGCAGCCAGGCCATGCTGGACTCCTGCTTTGTGCTGTGTTCCCGGCTCCGCGTGTCCTGAGGATTCCCTGGATGTATATCGAGCTAGTAGGGATCGGTGCTGGGGTGCGACACGGTGTGAGCTGGAGTCGTGAGATCCTGCAGGACTAATCACTCAATGCGAGGACTGAGTAACTGGGGAAAAAGGCAAGTAAAATCACCCCACTCTGCAAACGGCCACTGCTAAATCTGCAAGCGTTGACGTTTTGCAGGCACGGTTTTGCTGCTGCTGAAGTCGATGCGACTCTGCTTTTGAGAGGGGCCCAGAGCACGTGCGCCTTCCAGAGCTGCTCCGGTTGTAGTTGAGAGCAGGACGAACGGGAGCGCGCGGCGAACGCGCCCGTTTCCCCGGGAAGGCCCATAACCCGGTCCGTCTTCTCCCTGCAGACACTACCCGAAGCAATCCTTCACCATGGTGGCAGATACCCCCGAGAACCTGCGCCTCAAGCAGCAGAGCGAGCTCCAGAGCCAGGTAAGCCCACGGATCGCTCCTCGTCCCGGCCCGTGCGCGCTGCCGCGTTGCACCGCGTTCTCCTGCGCTCTCCGGCCTTTACGGCACCCCTTCCCTGCGGAGGGAGGAGGTTTGGGATGTGGATCCTTCTCGGATTCCGTGCATCTCAGCTGTGCCTGCTGCTCCATCATCCATGGCCCCTGCGATCTCTCGGAAGCCAGAAGTGCCCAGCTTCTCCCATCATGTCCTTGTCTCGTGCCCGTGGATCTCATCTCCGAGATCCAAGTGAAATGACCAAATGCCCCCTCGGCACAGGGAATTGCTCCATGGGCAAGTCTTACAAGTAAACCCAAATCCTGCAGGGCTTGAAAGCTCTGACAGGCAGAAATAAACAGATAGAAGGGATAACAACAGGCACAATTAATACTCCCCTCTAGTGCAAGGCGAAGAGCCTGTTTGGGAATGGTGTCATCCGGGTCTGTCCCGTTCTACACCCTTAAGGTGTCCCTGGGTCAGCAGAAGTCCCCAGCTTTCAGGCACAGCTCTGAGCTGGGTTCTTGCACTAATTTCTTAAATAGTAGGAACTTGACTTGTTCAGAGGGGAATGAGGAACAATATCAGTTTTCCTTCCTCTCTCTCTCCAAGACACTGAAGACTTACAGAAGTTGGGAAGTGAGTGATGCTTTTTGCAGAAAAACAGTTGGAAGGGCAAGATTTAGCAGCTCAGATGCCTGACCCATCTTCAGTCTGTCAAGAACTGGCCTTCTTTGGGCAAGGCTGGGCCTGAAGGTTAGGGCTGTGTTGGAGCATCTGAGACAAGACCCTGATCTGTTCTGTCCTAAGCTTTGATGTGGCAGAACTGCAGATGTCTGCCCTGGAAATACTCTGCACTGCAGGAAAATGCATCCAGGGGCAATTCTGGCTTGAGTCACAGTCCCTCAGGAGAACACAGGATGTGGCAAATGCTCTGGGAATCTACTTATTTTTATTTTTTTCCCTTTGATGAAAAGGGGCAGCAGGACTGCCTGGAGTTTTGTGCAGCACTTGGCGTTGTAACGGGTTGATCCTTAGGATGTTGGAGCAGAGGGTGCCCAGCACGGGATTGGGATTGGCGACGTTTCCAGGGTGAGCGCTCATCCCTCGGGATCAGCGCATTCCCTCCCTGCTGCGCCGTGAAGGATAGCGTGACCTTCCTTTCTTCTCTTCCCGTTATCCTGAAGGTGCCGGGAGCTGAAAAGCAGTTTGAGGGATGTTTCCTGCTGGAGGAGGAGGGGAAATTAGGACCCTCCGTCACCTGTTAGAAGATAGAGCTGGGGGTGCCCGCACAGGCAGCGCGGGGTTTGGAAACCTCTGCTTTTGTGAGGCCTCTTCCTCAAAGGCGGTTGCTCAACAGCTCCCTGGCTTGCACGAGCGCAGCCTGGCGCAGGCAGAGCTCAGCCTGGGGCTGCCTTTGTGTTTCGTGGAGCGGTTAAGGGGACACAGTTGCTTTTCCATGGTAACAATCAAGATGAGGCTGCAGCAAGTGCTCCGGAGTCTCCGGCACTGTTTTCCCAGTGAATTCAAGCTCTTTATTAGCCCTTTCCTATTAAAGGAGACCCTGGGGAAGGAGTGTGGTGGAGCTCTGCTCTGCACAACCCAGTCTTTGCCATGGTTTGTCAGAGCTCTGGGCTGCATAGGAAGCAGTTGGGAGCAATCTGCTGTGTGACAGCTGTGTAGCAGGGGGTGACATCTTTGTTTTGGGCTTGCACACCCTAAAAACATCCCCTTTGCCTGGCTGAGCAGGGGCTGGCACCACTGCCGTGAGCCAGATCCTAGATTTCATCACTAGAATTAAAATTCTAGCAGAATCCTTAGGATTTCAAAGCCGCTTGGACTCTGTTTATCCCTCCTTCCCTCTTGACCAAACGGCCCCACGGTGTCTTGCTCAGACCCACACATCTGCCCAGCTGGAAAAGAAGAGGTTAAAGAGACAGTGCCTGGAGCAACTGAGCTCTGGGAAGAGCCAACGGAGCAGCATTCCCTTCCCCTGCATTAAAGAGCAGAAAGACCCTGTGTAGAGGAGGGAGCAGGGACTGATGAGGAAGCTGAATCAGACAGAAAGTGCCAGACTGAAATGCCCTTGGTCCTCCGGAGAGGACAGACCTAAGCACTTTAGATAAGATCTTAATTTCTCTCTGCCTTTGTTCTGCCTGCAAAGGGAGTCTCCTGTTTTCCTGGCTCTGGAAGCCCTCTAAGAGCAGCCTCTCTGTGCTCTTATTGATGATCCCTTCTTAGCAATCGCAGGAGCTGTGCGGCCCCGTCGGGACCGGACTAGGTCCCTTCCAGCCTTTCCAGAGCAGGCAGCAAAATCCAGTCCTGCAGATCAGCTGGGTAAGCTGGAGCCGCTGGCTGAAGTGGGACAGCTTGTCAGAGAGGGCTTGCTGGCTCCGTTGTGCTGCGATGACAGCTTAGTGGGAGTGTTTTTGTACCGAATCTGCCAGTTCAAATGCTAGCCGAAAAGTGCGCCCTGGTGCTGCGAGGGGCAGAGCTTTGCGCGTAGGTTTAGTCATACGGTTGTTGGCGGGGTGAGGGCAGGGCTGTGAACAGTCACGTCTTCCCTTCAGGCTGGTGTTTGTCAGCCGGAGTCAGTCTTTGGTTGTGGAGCTTCCTGCAGTGTCCGACCCCTCTGGTTAGGGAAGCTGCCAGGAATTTCCCGGCGGAGGGTCGTTCCCGATGCCTGGAGCATCCTCTCCTGCTCAAAGCAGCCAGCAGCTCTGTCCCCCAGCCAGGCCCTTTGCTGTGGGGCAGGAGTCTTGGCCTGGGGAGCTGCAGCACTTGTAGGTGCCCCGAGCAGGCTGAGCTGGTCCCTCCTGCCAAAAATACCCCGTCCACCTGCACAGCAAAAGCCTCCGTCACCAGAGCTGCTTTTGGGGCGATAATGGAGGAGCTGAGTGCCCAACGGGAGCAGCTTCGTGCAATTTCTGGTGTCCTTCTCTATTTGTGTTTACTGGGAAGGCGGCTTTTGTTCCGGTCACTGACACAAGCTGGATAATAATGTCCCGTGCAGCTAAATGAGTCTGCAAAGTGACAGCTTTTACGCCTGCAGCCCTCTCTTACGGCCCACGTGTGGCAACAGAATTGCAGGGTTCCTGCCCTGTGGCTGCTTTTCCAAACTTCTAAAATTGGAATCTCTGGACACGGCCTTTCCTGGCTGCGGGTGGAGGCTCCTGCGTTGTGGGAGAGGGGTACTGGCCTCGTGTCCCCAGCTGGTCCCTGTGCAGGGATGCGTTTGTCACCATGGGGAGCTGCTCGGTGACATGGGGGGTGCAGGTGGGAGCACTGGTTTAATGTGCTGGAGCTGAGCCCTGCGTTGGACAGGGCGGCTCTTCTCCAGCTCCCTTGGGATAACGCATGGATGCATGAGCTGCCCTTCTCATTCCCACACTGGGAAGACGATTCCTGTGAGGAAATGAGGTCTGGACCCTGTGCGGGTTTTACGGGATGGTATCCCAGCAGGCGAGGTGTGGATCCCGGCTGGAGGAGCTGTGGGGAGGGCAGATCCAAGCTGGCGTTGGGCAGTGTCCCCCGATCCCATCGGGGCGGCAGCTCCGTGACCTGGCGCTGGGAAGCTGCCTCCGCTCCCGCAGAGCCGAGCGACGCAGACGGAGCGGGACCGCGAGGCTGATGAAGGCTCCTTCATCCAGCGGGTGAGCGAAAAGCAGCTACGGGCTGGAGCGAATGGTGCGAGGAACCGGGTGGGCAGCAGTGACAGCTGCTGCGAGCTGCCGGCATGGCACCGAGCTGGGGAAGCGCAGGGGGATTTGGGGAATTGCGCATCCGTCTCCTTTGTGCCATCCAGGCTGCCCCGGGCTCGAGTTTCCAAGCGCTGGAAACCACGCACAGACTCATATCCCTTTAAAGACCACGGGCGGACGGTGCTGATGGATGAGATTCCTGCAGCATCCGGGGGGTCGGGGTCACGTCTCCGCTCCCCTCCTTCACCCTGGTTCCCACCAGGCCGCTTTGGGTCCCTTTGTCCCCCCTCTCCCGCTCGCGGCAGCGCATGGGGAAGCGCCGGGGCCCATATAAGGGCAGGGAGACGCTGGGCGGCCGCTTCCTCCCGGCTTTTCCGGCCTCCTCGGCGCCCCGCGCTGCCGCGGCCAGGAAGGGCTGCGGTTCCTGCTGGGCCGTCACCTCCTCCCCTGGCCGGCCCGGGGGGACGGCGGCCGCGCGCCGGTGCCATCCGGCACGAGGGCTGCTCCGTGCCTCGGAGCCGGCGTCCTGGGACCCTCCGGAGCGCCGAGCTCCGTAGGGTTCCTCAAGCTCCCTGGTGTCACACGGGCATTACGAGTGCTGTGATTCACCGAGTTCGGGCTCGGGACGCTGTTCCTGGCTGTGATGCCGCCCCGCGAGCAGCGGCGCCTCCGGCTCCCCGGCGCTTCCCGGCCGGAGCGCGGCGGCTCCGCAGGGGCCTCGGTCTCCCTCTCTCAGGGAGCAGCTTCCCGCTCTCATTCCGCAGTGTCCCAGGGTACTGGTTAACCTGGAAATGGCCGTTTGCACTCGCATACTCGACGGAGGCGGCTAAGGAAGCGTCTGAGTCTCCGGGCTCCTTCCTGGGAAGCATTTGCCAGCCTGGATATAGGCAAGTGCCTAGCAGCATGTGCCGATCCCTGGAATTCCACAGGCCGTCTGCGCCAGGCTCATTAACCGGGCCCCTTAGGCCAAGACAAGCAGAGCAGCTTCCTGGCTCCCACCTCTCCCAGCCTCATTTTAGAGCCTCCTCCGTGGGAAGGACAGAGCTCTCCCATGGGAGTCATCCCTGCCCCTTCTCCCAGCATCCGTGAGCTAACGGGAGGCTCCGGAGCGAGACGGCCGCAGAAGAGCCCAGCTGGCACCGGAGGCTGCTCCGAGGCCGCTTCCAGCGCTATTAGGAAACACTTGGCAGCCTTTCCCGAAAGGTGCTTCCAGGCCCAGCTGGATGCGGCCGCAAGTATGTGCGGTTGGAAGGAGCGTCTTGCCGGAGCGCGCGCTGGGAAGGAGGTGGCTCCATCCCTGCTCCCGCGTGCGCGTCCCGGCGCTGCTCCCGCGGGATCCCTGTGTGCGGATCGTGAGCTCCGCGCGCTGGAAGGGGACGTTCCCGCTGCCTCCCAGGGAGCGAGCGCCCTGTCCGCATCCCCCTCGCTGCTCTCCTGTCATGGGAGGCTCCGGCTCCTGCTCCCCTTTCCCGGGGCTGGGAAGCGCCTGGTGAGGAGCTGTGTTCCCCGGAGCGGTGCAAGCACCGCAGCCGCCCGGGTCCCATGCGAGGTTGGGTTTGTTGGTGCCAGAGCCCACGGGGACGTTTGTGTTTCGGTGATGACGCAGCGCTCCGACAGCGTCCTGGGAACCGGGG